TATCCCTGAAATGAATTCTACCAGTAGTCTCTTTGATATGCTATTATATAGTAATTACGTGTTCACAGCTACTAGATGTGACTCTCTCCTAATATTCCATGTACTATAACGACAGGTGTGTAAATTATATCGTACTTAGTGTGGTATGTTCCTTACGGATACAATGTCTCCTTCTCCTGCTTTTACCGAAATAGACCCGATTCACAAGGAGCGATATGGGAACTACGGTTAACGTTGTTGGTCTTATTTGTACGGAAGTTAGTGTGTATATTTGTGTTCTTATAGATAGCGGAGGATGCATATTTAATGTATCAATTCGCTGTAGCACAGTACAGTTTCAATGAAAAAGTGCAAGCAATGAGTAGTTAAGCCTGTCTTCGTCTGTTAACATCTTAGTCTCTTATCAAGAGAAAAATAACGAAAACGACTATTTCTGTCACATTGAGGTGGTACTGTTTGCATAATTACGGTTCTCAAGAAGTTAGAAGCCAGAAGTGATCAGCAGAATATCTGAAATAGCCATGATGAAACTGTAAAATCACAAATGACAGTTTTTTTTTTCGCACGAGGGTAGTTTTTGACAATGATTTACTGGGTAGGTCGAAAGCAGTCGGTCTCCGTTTTTAAGTCGTCGTGTGAAACAAAAAACCTGTCATTTTAGAAATGAGAATCGTAAGCAGTACCAAGTAGTCTCAAAACCTGAATGACGATAAAACTGTCCTTTGCTTGTGCCCGGCATGGCCAGGTGGATAAGGCGCTCGACTCGCAATCTGAGGGTCGCGGATTCGAATTCCCGTCCCACCAAACACGCTCGCCCTTTCAGCCGTGGAGGCGTTATAATGTGACGGTCAATCCCACTATTCGTTGGTAAAAAGAGTAGCCCAAGAGTTGGCGGTGGGTGGTGATGACTAGCTGCCTTCCCTCTAGTGTTACACTACTAAATTAGGGACCGCTAGCGCAGATAGCCCTCGTGTAGCTTTGCGCGAAATTAAAAAACAAACAAACCTTTGCTTGTTGGGTCTCTTTTCTTAACAGTACTGTACATATACTAATATTTGAGTTTAAAAAAAATCAGAAACTTTAATCAAATTAAGTATGAGCCAATGCTTATGAATATATAATATCAATCACTTCTAATCGAAGCAAGCTACCTATATATATATCTCGCTAAAATACGGGGGTCGATCCCCGCGGTAGACACAGTGGATAATGGTCCGATGTTGTTCTCCTCTAAAACAAACAAATTAAAAATTGACCCAATAATTAATGAAACAAATTTAATATGGCAAGGATACAGTAATTCATCAGTTTGTAATTTCATCCTGAATTGTTTTTTGTAAGACTTAAAAAGATTTCAAATTAGACCTGTTTTTTGTATCTTTTCCGTAGAAACTTGCTCAAGAATGATGTCAAAGTTCAATTTAGAACTTATAGGCTAAAGTTACCACTTCCAATAAAACTCATTGATACTCCAATGTCACTAACAAACAATAGATTTTCAGTTAAACAAAGCTTTCTTTCACTTGTGGCTCTCCTTTTCAGTTACGCCATCTACTTGAAACAAAGAAAAAGTTTTGAGTTTATACAGAGGCTCAGTTATCCTTGCATCTTATAAAATGTAAATATTGCTAAGTATTGTCTTGTTTTTCTAAAAGTGCCTTTGTTTGTAGACTCTTGTTGCATCTGGTTTCGTTAAACTGGATATTAGCCATAATTCAGAAAAGCAGGTAAAAAAAAACGTTTAATAAATTATTTATGGGTGTACTTTGAGCACATATAGTCAGGTTAAACTGGATATTAGCCATGATTCAGAAAAGCAGGGAAAAAACGTTTAATAAATTCTTTATGGGTGTACTTTGAGCACATATAGTCAGGTTAAACTGGATATTAGCCATGATTCAGAAAAGCAGGAAAAAAAACGTTTATTAAAATCTTTATGGGTGTACTTTGAGCACATATAGTCAGGTTAAACTAGATATTAGCCATGATTCAGAAAAGCAGGAAAAAACGTTTAATAAATTCTTTATGGGTGTACTTTGAGCACATATAGTCAGGTTAAACTGGATATTAGCCATGATTCAGAAAAGCAGGGAAAAACGTTTAATAAATTATTTATGGGTTTACTTTGAGCACATATAGTCAGGTTAAACTGGATATTAGCCATGATTCAGAAAAGCAGGGAAAAATCGTTTAATAAATTATTTATGGGTTTACTTTGAGCACATATAGTCAGGTTAAACTGGATATTAGCCATGATTCAGAAAAGCGGTGAAAAATCGTTTAATAAATTCTTTATGGGTGTACTTTGAGCACCTGTAGAAGGTTAAATTCTAAACTAATCTCACTATTTGTCAAAATGATTCTAAAGCAGTTTTGTTGCACTGTTTTGACTTCAAGATGTTAGAGTTGGCCTACAAATGTTTCGTGTAAATGGAGACCGCCCAAAACGCCTTAATTGTGATCACGTAGATTAGCACATAAGCTCCTTATCCCTAATTACTTAGTTCACAACATGTGATTCTTTTTTCAATCACGTAGTTCACTTCATGTTGTTCTTATCATCAATCTCGTAGTTCACCTCATGTGGCCCTTATCAACAATCTCGTAGTTCACCTCATGTGGCCCTTATCAACAATCACGTAGTTCACCTCATGTGGTTTTTATCAACAATCACGTAGTTCTCCTCATATGGCCCTTACCTGCAACCATTTAATTCATGTGGTTCTTATCAACAATCACGTAGTTCACCTCATGTGGTCCTTATAAACAATTACATAGTTTACCTCATGTGACCCTTATAAACAATTACGCAATTTATCTCATGTGGTCTTTATGAACAATTACGCAATTCACCTCATGTGGTCCTTATCTACAACCACTTAATTCACTTCATATGGTCCTTATCTATAATCACCTAGTTCACCTCAAGTGGTCCTTTTCTGGAATGATATAGTTATAAAAATGGAATGTCAAATTGAAGTGGTTATTTATATATATTTAAATATTTTTCATTTATGATTCGCAAATATTATTTATTAGTTATTGAAATCAAGGGAACATTGTGATTTTTGTTGTTACGTGTTTATTCCGAAATATTTGCCAGTGAAAACAGTACGGGTCTATCCAACAAAATGATAAAATGTTCGGAATGTTGCCGAAGGACCAGTTCGATACAAACCAATCACATTCCACTTAAATTACCAAACTTGTAGCTATCTACCATGGAAGTGTTTAAAGAGAGTGATAAGTTTGTATGAAAGATCGACAAACCTGTTCACACTTTCATTACTTGCTGCTTCTGTAGTAATTTTATTTGTTAAAAAGTAGACTATTAGAAATGCTGGGGGTTTAACCTTTTAGGGTCGGTTGGTAGAACACTCGCCAGGTGACAAATCTCGGGTTCAAATCCGAGGCGAGGAAATAAATAAATATATTGAAAATCAAGATACCACACTGCCAGTAAACAAAATCCTCGACCACGTTTCTAAGGTTACAAGTGCTGGGTAAAGGACATTGGAATTTATCTTTCTCATTTAATGGACGTCCTTGATAGTAATACCTTGGGATTTTGAATCAACTGAAGAATTGTTGTTTCTTACAAAAGACAGACGAAAAAACAACCAAAAAAAAAAACGATATTTTACTTGTAGCCATAAAGATGAATTCAGAAAAATTCCGCTAGGTGACACTCTCTTAAGCAATATTATAAAACACATTCCAAACTTAAATGCTGTGTTAACAACGTTTTTTTTTTTTTTTTTTTTTTTGTGTGGGGG